CCGGCAAACGAGCGTCGCACTACGCGCCAGCCACGGGTGCCGGGTTACCTCGTCAAGGATACGGAGGATGTCGACTACGAGTTGGATACTCCTTTCCCAGGATGGAAGAAAAAGAATAGGAAGGCGAGATGCGCAAACGGCGCGATGTGAGCCCTGCTCGAATCTTGCAGACACCGTGTCTGTTTCCCGACCTCTCGACTTCCGGGGGAGTGGTATCATTATCAATGACTTCGACGAGGAACAGAGACAGCAATTGGATGTTGCTCGCAGGGCGAGTATGCGTGAGCATCCACAATCAGTCCTAAATTCTGTGTGGAGTACGGCTTCCGCTTGGCGGATCGCTATACAGAGGCGATAGACCCGACCACTTGATCGCTTAGCGTCTACGTAGTGGGATCCCCGGCCACATCACAAGCTGGGCTTGATCAACGAGAAGCTCTCCGAGCTTACTTCTTGGAATCTTAAGAAATTCCAATGGATAGGTACCGCGCACTACTTTGCACTTGAAGAGAAGGCGCTCCTGTAACCTCGGTTGGACGATTTCTGTGGTGCTTGCCCCTGGCAAAGCCGCTGCAGATGTTGAAGTGATGCTTGAGCAATGGGTGCAGCGGCACTGAACACTTTTCTCGCTGTCTCAATTACAGTGAAGCCACAAGGAAGTAAACGTACGCGTGGAACGCCATCTCAGATTCGAGTTTGCCAAATTTAAGGCGCAACGACGACTTCCTTCGGATTGTCGCCCTGCGACGTATGGAATAATCGATCACGCTTCCACCAGCCCTGTTCTGTCTCGTACGGGTGAGTCTGCAACCACTGCAGTTCAAGGCGATAGCTTGAGCTCAGTATATGGTTCTCTGCTTTCCCTGGCAACTGCCGAAGCGCGGAGCGTCATGATCTCTCTGATTATAAGCGTCCACGACGTCTGTACGGTCTTGCCAAAGTGGCACCTTAAATTCCCACGCGATCTCGGAGTTAGGGTATCATCGCCACATCTCAAGATACTGGATTTGACCCTGTTGATGTTGACCCACAAGGCGTTTCACGTGATAGTGTACACAACTGTTCTCGTCGAGAAGAGTCGGTGGTAGACGATGACGACTTGGTCAATCGCCGTCTGGTGACTCGCGATACTCTTCGAGCTTTGAAGGACAAAGTCCGTCGTCATCGGCACTCTGGCGAGCATCGTGCCGAGGTTGCATACCACTGTGCAAAGACCTCGAGATCTTGGAGAACTTTGTGCATAGACTGCCTCACATTGAGGACTATCGCGCTCTGTCGGAGCGGCTTCTAGCCGTCGAGCAGACGAATGCGTCACTTCGTGCGACGGTGGAGCGCCTGCGCCGTTGGAGACGGAAATCGTTGCACTCCGTGCTCAAAATTAGTTGCTAGATCAGCTTCTGTGTGGTCAAGCGCCTGTGGACGCCGTTCTGGCGCCAATGCTTCCACGCACACTTGTGCCGGATCCCGGTACGGCTTAAGCAATCCCACAAAAATCCTTGTGTGGGTGCGCATCTGTTTCGGAAGATTTAGCGTACACGCAAAGCCCCGTTTGGCCACGGCGTTAAAAGTTCCGATAAACCGTGGACGGGGCTTCATCTGAAAGACTGCGGAAACTGCATGAGTAGGATGGTTAAACTAGGTCTCCGACCTCAAAGTTTCCACCATTCTTTCAGCTTCTTTCGTCTGCACATGCTTTCTGCATGTCTTGGTTCTCAGCCATCACATCGCGATCGTGTTGTAAGACACTTAGTCTGGTATACAGGAAGTCATCGCCTTCTTCACATTGAAACGGCTGACATCAGCTAGTCGCTCGGCTATTTCTCCCTTATTAAACCCTAAGCCTTGGGATGGCGGCCTCAGCCGGACGCGAGGATGAACGAGCCCGTTCACGTAGAACGGAGTGTGGCCGGTAGACGTATGCACTGCATTGATCAGAGCGAAATCCACAAGTGGCATCATGGCGCTTCAGCAGCTTGGCGTCTCAGCACAAAAACTGCGAAAGACATCTTCAGCGATGCGGTTCACGCTCTAGGTTTGATCACCGGCCTGCGGCTGGTCCGCTGTTGACATAGTCAACTTGAGGTCCAGCACCCTGAAGATTATCGACCAAAACTCCAGTGAACGTGGGTCTCTGTTAGAGACAAACGAATTCGGGGTCCCTGTTATCGAGAAACACGATTCACAAACTGCGTCGCTCTACCGATCCCGTCGATGGTGTCCGGCACTGCCGCAGGATGATAAACCTGCTGAAACGGGCGACAAAGACCATGACACCCGTGTCCTGGCCGAGTCTTTGGCAGGCCGAAAAAAAATTCAAACTCATGGACTGCCAACACCCGGAGGATACCAAAAAATTGATTTGCGGCGCCGCCGCATTTGGAGAGGGTTTCACCATTTGAGACGTCTCACAGGTGCGCTCATGTGCTCGTCTATCTCTACAGCTTGGGCAACCTATAGTGGTAACTCAAAGAGATCACATAGCTGTAGGTCTTTTCACGACAGAGATGACCACTGAGTGGGGTGTCGTGGGCCTCATAGTGAATACAATTCTCCAAATTCTCATCGTGAGGGACCACAATTCGTGGCATAACCTTCGAGTCGGTGCTATAGTATAAGAACCCGTTCTTCAACAAAAATCAGCGTAACCGTGCGCGCGGTCGCGACAACAACTTCTTGTCCGATTTTCCAAGTTTCTTGCTGCCTACTTGCTGCTGGGAGCCCGTGGCAGCACTACCCACATATCATTACTCGCGTATGCGGCTCGGGTTAAATCCGTCACCGATTACGTCACCTTCGTGACATGATCAAGCTCATAATTCAGTCTGCGTGACAACGCATCAGCTAAAGCATACTGCTTTCCTGGCATTTACTTCATTTCAAAGCTCTATTCTGCAAAGAACGAGAGCCACCTGGCCATCCTCTGCGATAGGTGAGGTGACTGAGTCGCAGTGTGTGGTGACGCATGTCTGTGTAGATCACAAACAGCTTTGATCCCAACAGGTGCACCCTGAACTCGACAAGTGTATACTTCATCGCAGGTAATCCTTGTGGTGGACAGGGTAGTTCATTTTGCAGCCATGACCTGACGAAATTCGAACGCGATCACCTCAAAGGAGTCTGCTTGCAGTGGTTCACAGCCAATGGACACATCACAGACGACGCTATAAAGACGATCGGGATCTGGCAACGCCGGTATTGGTGCTTGAGGGAGGCTGTCCTTGATCCTATCAAAAGTCTTCCGATGCTCGGTGTCCCAACAACATTCCACATCGTTCTTAAGAAGATTGGACAATTACCGTGCCATTTCCGCATAATTCTTGCTATAATTGTGCAAGTAGTTGGCGAGGCCAAGCCATTTGCGCAAAATCTTTTGGTTCTTTGGAACATGCCAGTCCACAATGACCTTAACCTTAGCGGGATCCGTTCGAAGGCAACTTTCCCGATGAAGCACACTAAAAAACATTCTTCGGTGCCAAAGATGCACTTGTCTAGATTAGTATACAGCCTTTTCGTGCGCATGCACTTGAGCCCCGCTTGGCCACGACTTTGTGGTTTTCTTTATTCATTTTCCCCGTGCTTTGCACGACTGTGGGCGAAGATGTCGCCGAAGTATGTCTGTGCATACGCCCGGTGGAGCCCTGAATAACTGCGTCACAATACGATTAGATTTTGCTGGTGCATTTGACTGCCCTTGTGACATCACCAGCCACTCTCAGAGCATCCCGCTCGGCAAACTCACCGCTGGCAGCAAAATATCACCCGTTTTTATGAGCAATTGGTCCTAAACATCGATCAAGTCATGTTCACTGTACCTTGTACATCCAACCAAATTGTTCTGTAGAACCTTTCTAGGAATTGGCGTTTGTGCCGAAATGATGGCAGCGTTTAGCTTATTGTTAGCATGAACGATACGCCACTTGCCGTTCGGCTTCCGAACACAAAATCTAGTTGTCGAATGGGGAGACTTGCTCTCACGTACCATCGCTGCGTCGTGCTTCGCACGGAAGAAGGCGTCAATGACGTCGAACTGCTCCTTGGGCAGGGCCATTGGCGTGTTACGCAGTATTTGATTTCCGGAACTAGGTCGATCTCATGACGTAACTCTCGGTCCGAAGGTAGGACCGATGTCGGGCTTTGGACGTCGTTAAACTTCTATTACTAAGATCATTACGGATCCGAGGGATTTTTTTGGATCGAAGATCCACTTTGTGCGTTCAGCACCCTCTTGGTGTCCTCCAGAATGGCTTCATCCAGAATCGACGACGTGTTAAATTTCTTCGTCCGGTCGTATAATGACCACTTCGTCAAGGTTACCTGCTTTCAAGGCACTGCCAAACTTTTTGAAGGACATCTCGTCCAGCTCAAGAAGAGCATCCACCGCGGGAAAGCCTCGAGGGCGACGTCGTCGTCTTTCTCTTCCGTCATACCGTAAACGAGAGTGTATAGTTGTGCGCTATCGTCTGCGGCAGACACCTCCTGGGTCAGGGTCGCTCCCTTGCGTATTGCAGATAATCTACGGCGTCGCCGTCGCCTCCTTAGGAAGGTTTTCAATGGGAGAAAGCACTCAGCGCCGTCCAGTGTCCCCACTCCCTGCTCCATCGGAGACTTGATGTTATTAACAACATCCGACGAAGATCAACTAGTCGCACAGTCTTCGTCCTACCATATTTTGGTCGATGATCGAGCTAGTCATCAAGTCTACCCATTTGACATAAAAAAACAATCTACTCTTCAACCTGGAGATTCTTCTCGGCGTATAAGCGTTGAAGGACATCAAAGAATTGCTTCTTTATTGATGCCAACGCCTGAAGGCTAGGAACGTAATCACCACGGATTACCTCGAGGACGAAGCCTGCCTCCACAACAGGTGTCGTGAGCCAACTCACGAGCCTTCTCGTCATTCCAAGGTCAAACAAGTTCATCATATACTTATTGAAACCGTGGATCAAAACGGGACTCCAAAGCCGATAATTGGGTAGAGCCATCACTCAGAACATCGATTTTTGAGTTCTGCTCTGCAACAACTTGTTGAACGCCCTCGCAGCGATCTTTAAGCGTCAAGCAACGCTGCCGCATACAATTTCTCAATTCGCCCGCCGCGATGATGGATCTTCCACTTCCAGAGTCGCTCAATCGTTCTCGTGCTCAACCCCACCTCGGCTATCAGACTCTCGTGGAGAGCGTCGTTGGGAGATTGAGACGATTGTCAAGCACGAGAATCGATCGGCTCGTCATCGTGGAATATCTACAGAATTTGGTGGCGCGGCTACCCATCGGACTCGGACACGTGGGAACCTCGTCCGGCCTTAGAGTCTGACATCCCCAACGCGGTCCGCAGCTATGAGAATCGTTTGTATGTTGCTAGAGTCAACACTACGCCGACCATAGTTTGGTTGTGCTTGGTCGTGATTAGGAGTCCTGCCAGCGCCTTCTCAGCGAGGACGACGCTCCATCTTGTTCTCGTTCTTAAGGTGGACAAATGTCCGCCAAGAGTCAGGGCTAGCTGCAATGGGATTGGCCGGATCATCACAGTTGTTGATGCGACATTAACGAAAAAAACGTTTAATGTTAAATCTCTTGTCTACATTTCGGTTGGATATGAAGGAAACGTCAAAGAGATCTAGAACCGTTTATTGTCGCTTAGGTGAAGAACGATAGTGTTGGCTCATTCACTAGAGATCTTCATTATTGATCGGAACATTAAACTGCTTCAAAAGATCTGCAAATGTTTCAAAGTACTTTTGATTCTCAGGAGGGGATGATGTAATTTGCTACACTTGGCAAATACATGAAGGTACATTTATACATAGATGTATCTTCTATTTGCATTGTAGAATTTTAAATCATATTTTGATGTTCCCAAATATGAAGTCGCAAATTTTCTTTATTATACTGAATGCTGGTTTCTATTTTGAAGTTGAAGCTCCCCGCACACCTAAGTTTTTTATGGGTTGAAGCTGAGGTTCCAACTCATTACACCCTTGAATGTACAAATCACGATCTTAGACGCCCATTGTTTGATTAGTAAGCCTGCTAGGACCGCTAGAAGCCCTTGGTGTGTGTTTGCATGTAGCTAGGAGCCACACCTCATCTTAATTCAGCTGCAAATTTTGTATAAAGTGTTAAGTCATTCTTCTTTCTCCACTCAGGACTGTCGTTCTCCCTCGACGTCGGGATCGCTTTCCTGTCGCACAAGTGTGTGTGTTGTGTTTGAGGGACTGTTTGTGAACGGCACTCACTTACACATTTTGTTTTCAATGGCGGGGAAAGGGAAGAATTTTCTCTTTGAATACGTGAGGCTGACATGGCTATGATTTTAACCATGCTTGAACGAAAACCCAATACGTTCGAAGCGGTTTTTGAGGAACAGGCTGCGGGCGAGAACCAACAAACTCGTTCGTCGCTCGCTCAAAGGGTATTCTTTTCATAAGAAGCTGTGGCAACAGAAATCGCGAGTCTCGCACCGCTTAATAAGGCATATCGCAGACGTTCAGACATACTGTCTACCTATTAAGGAGTTGTGAATTTGCAATTTTAAGGCCAAAATATTGTTATTTTACATCGCCGCGATAGAGGCAAACCCTCTTTTTGAAGCGATAGTGACGACCTTATCATAAAGATATTACGACAAGTGCAATATTTTCATCAGCCGAGTCTAAGGCGATGGACCTTCGCCAGGCTGACGAAAAAGCGAGCAAACATGTTACTACTAAATAGCGGTGTGGTATACGTAGCAGTGAGATTTGCAATACCTTAAACCTGTAAGCTTCTTTTTCTTTTGTTTTGAAATAGGAAGGTCGCGATCCTACGAATTACTGGTCGACGAAGTTTCCGCGGAGAAAATTCAAGTCCTATTACACGATATGTTTCCTACTGGGTGATCAGTTCAATTGTTCCGCTGGAAGGTTGTCAAGAAAACCAGCGCTTATATTATCGACTTTAGTGAGATAGATATAGTTCAAGGTCCAGGGTTTTTTGTTACCTACACCAATCTTCTGTGAGTTTTAGATGTAAAAAGTTTTAATGACTTCAAGGTCATCGTTTGAATACGTTCGTCGCGCAACGGTTGAGAACCGTTGGCAGTACGCGAAGGCATCAATGACACCACATTTGGATACCATATTTGTGAATCTTGCGCAAGGTACACAGTGAACATGTCTGTCAGCTTTTAAAACCTACATGTATGGAATGGTGGAACACTACTTGGTTTTTGTTTAATATTTTCAAAAGATTCTCAATAAAGGTATGATACAGCTGAAACACCATGGGCCATGGATCGAACGGAAGTAGAAAATAATAAATGCTATAAGTCCAACGATTGTGAGTCATGAAACCATCGTCTTTTAGGAAGCGTTATCGTTAGCTGCGCGCCCGCGATGATGCTATAGCTTCAGTGCAGCCCATATGTCTGCCTGAATCGCCTATCACTATTGTTATATAGTGCCTCAAGCAGATTATGAATGCAAAAGCGGTTGTAAACCTCATTATCATGATGAGGCGAAAATTAGCGATCGTATATTGCAGGCTTTAGAGTGATTTCCTCTAACACGAAATCAACGATGATACGTCGCGATTCTCAAAATGTTTCTTTGTTCATATTGCTGACAGCAGCTTGTAGCTTATGATTCAGGAAACTGGATCTGCCTAAACAAATCAGAGCGACTTTGTTTCGCGGTTGGTTGAAGACTCATTTCATGAAGAAAAGCAGTGCGGTTTTGTACGTATTCTCTGAGCAAGACCCGTCAGGCCAAGTAACTGTAAATCGAAAATAGAAGGGTAAGGCTCGGAAGTTAGCAAGCATGGTTACCGTTGTCACAATGAAGCAAAAAATCTAAGTCGACATTTTCGTGTGTTTCGCCCGCTTGAAACATTTAGAGCTTCATGCGTCTCGGCAAAAACGGTTAAACATTTGTGGATTAGTGGGTAGGTCGACTTAGAGGCTGAACAACTCCGTTGTTCAGCCCACTAGCCTACTACGTTTTACCCTAGTCAGAAGCATTAATTAAGCTTAAAGCATTTTTGCAGACATTGCAAAGCGATGGTACCATTTAGATGGTACGATTGGTATCGATAGGGGAGCTAAGCTCATCATCTTTCATCGATCAGGCCGTTGTTGATATCACTCGCAAAGCACTGAGTGCGAGTTATCCTCAAAGATGCGATAAATTATTTTTCTTTTTTATTAAAGGAATATCACCCAATGATAGCGAGTGATGCATCGTAGAAGTGATCTATAGATTGAATAGTGCGTCGTAAGGCGAACGTGATGCCAAGAATCAAAAAGTACGTCAAAAGTGTAATGGGGTTTCATGCGCTCTGGTATGAACAGTGTGGATTACACAAGAAGGTGTGGCTGCACCTAATCAAGAAGTCAGTACGTGGCTGAAACAGCCAGTATTTTACATATAACTAGGTCTTACTACATAGGAAAACCAATCGATTTAGATTTAGACGGTTTTGCCGCAAAAGAAACCGAGAAATGCAGTTTACGTTTTAAAGAGAGAAGTTAAATACTTTGGGTTAAGGTGGTAGTTACTCATGGAGTAAGTGGATTGCGTTTCGCTACACAGTGCGTCCGCGGCACCGGGGGGACGTAAATACTACGCTCGATGAGCACAAACGTCGCGCTCCGCGTACGCTCTCAGTGCCGAGTGGCCTCGTTGAGGATGTGGTCGACTATGAGTCTGATACCTCTTTTCCCGAATGGGATGACGAGGAAGGCGAGCTGCACCAGCAGCGTGATACGAGCCCTGCTCTCGCCTTGTGGACCCCATGCCCGTTCCCTGGCTTCTCGTCAACTGAGAAATGTGGTGTAATCACCAATGGCCTCGACGGGGAACAGAGGCGGCAGCTTGAAGATGCCCATAAGGCGGCTCTAAAATGCGCCCATCCACGGTCGGTCATTGACCTTCGTGTGGAATATAGCTTCCGCCTGCGGATCCCGCTTTGGAAGCGAAGGACACGGTAACTCGATCGTTACGCGTCCATATCATCGGGTCCCCGGCCAGAACGGATGATTAGCATGCCACACGGAAATCTCTTCGAGCTCGTTTCTTGGTCCCACAATAAATTCCGTTAGACGTTTATCGCACTCGTCGAAGTGCTCAACGAGGTGGCTGTCGTGTACCTGCAATGCAGACAATACCTATAGTGCTCGCCCCTGGCGAAAGCACTAAAGATGACGAAGCGCTCTTTGAGCGATGGGTGCAACGGCACCGAAAACTTTCGTCACTGCATAACCTGCATTTGAGCCACGAGGAAGTGGACGTGCGTGTGGAGCGACACCTCCGCTTTGAGTTTGCCAAACTCAAGGCACGCCGACGACTTCCTTCGGATTGTCGCCCTGCGACGTATGGGTTAACAACTCCTTATGCTCCCGCGAGCTTTGTGTCTTCGACCGCAAGAGCTCAGGGCCATTGCTTAAGCTCAGCTCATGGCCCGTCTTTTTCCCTGCTATTGCCGGGAAGCGCAGGGCGTCTGATGACGTGGGACGTCCTGATCTTTCCGATCTAAAGCGTCCACGGCGACTGGGCAATCTTGCCGAAGTGGCGCCTCAAACTCCCACGAGT